GACAAGACACCGGGCGCTGCGAGAACTCTAATTGCAAACATGGCTGCAAATTCTCAACAGTTTGGCAATAGACTTGTCCAACCGTCTAAACAAGTGAATGAGGTAAATATTTCTGCTCTTGAACAACAAATTTCTGGTTTAACTACTCTTGTTCGTCAATTAGCAGTAGGCAATATGCAAACTGTAAAAGCATGTGGAATTTGCTCGGTAGTTGGGCACCAAACTGATGCCTGCCCAACTCTTCAAGAAGTTGAACAAGTCCACATGGCTGGGGGTTTTCCTGGACAACCTCAAGGTAAGTATGATCCATTTTCTAATAAATATAATCCTGGATGGAGGGATCACCCGAACCTTAGCTATGGGAACTCACAAGGGAACCAGTTTATTCAGAATTATCCCAATTCTCAGCAGTATAGACAACCATTTCCTTCAAGACAACAGCCAGCCCAAAGCTCTAGCTCAAGTATGAATCTAGAAGATATTGTTAAATCTCTTGCTACTAACACTTTGCAGTTTCAACAAGAAACACAACTATTCCAACAAGAGACAAGGGCTAGTATTCAAGAAACAAAGGCTAGTATACAAAACTTGGAAAGACAAATGGGCCAACTAGCAACTACGGTTAGTCGGTTGGAAGCACAGAGTTCTGGCAAATTACCCTCTCAAACGATCGTTAATCCTAAAGAGAATGTAAGTGCAATTAATGTTGAAAGTATGTCGCTGGAAAAGAATGTTGCTTCAAATAAGGAAATAAGTGCAGGAATCATTGCCAACAATAAAGAGAAGTCCCAAGGTAAGCTTTCTTCTTTTTCTGATTATGAACCAGTACCCCCATTTCCTCAAGCTCTTTTAGAACCAATAAGGGGAAACTCAAATAATGATCTGTATGAGACCTTTCGTGAATGTGATGCTAAAAACCACTTTTAGATTCTATGAAAAAAGTACCTCGCTATGCAAATTTTCTAAAAGAGGTACGCACTATGAAAAAGAAACGAAATGATGAAAGAATTGAGGAAGTGAAAGTGCAAGAGAATGTCTCTATGGCTAGTCAAAGCAATCTTCCTGAAAAGTGCAAAGACCCAGGTATGTTTACTATTCCATGCATGATAAGTGGGGTGAAATTTGAAAATGCTATGTTAGATTTAGGAGCTTCTATTAATGTCATGCCATATTCTGTTTATGCTTCTTTAAATCTTGGACCCCTAAATAAATCTAGTATAATAATTCAATTGGCTGATGGATCTACTACATATCCTAGGGGTGTGATTGAGGATTTGATTGTTGAAGTTAATAACTTGGTTTTTCCTACTGATTTTTATGTGCTTGATATGGAAAATAATAATCATATTTTGTTAGGAAGGCCATTCTTAAAAACTGCAAAAACTAAAATCGATATTCATAGTGGTATGCTTACTATGGAGTCTAATGGTAAACTTGTGAATTTTAGTATTTATAATACCATGAAATCTCCTAGTGATGATAATTTTGCAATTTTTGTTGATTCCTTGAAATTTGTTAAATTTAATGAAATTGCTTCTATTGAGAATAAAGAAGAACCAAATAATAAATCATCTTTAAGTACTAATCTGCATGAAGGGACTATTTTGAATCATAATCATCGAAGGTACTCAAAAAGACGATGGAAATTTAAAGATATATCATAAGTCGAGCCAACGACGATAAACAAAGGCGCTGCTTGGGAGGCAACCTAAGGTGTGTTTGTTCCATTTTTTTTTCTTTTATTCCATATTCTCATTCAATAACCCTTTTTCTGTGCTTTTTTATTCAACATTGGGGACAATGTTGATAATAAGTGTGGGGGAGGGAATTTAGTTTTATTATTTGTTTGCTTATAACAAAATTTTCAAAAATTTTCACAAATATTTTACTAGTATTTTATGCAAAATAAGTATTATTTTGAAAAAAAAATTATATTTTCCTTTCCTGAAATTCATAATGTGGTTGAATAAATAATTTGGCAAGTTGTGATTAGTTTGTTAGCATTTCTTGTTTGATATGTAGTGGCTATATTAAGTAAGCAATAAACATGTGAGTGTTTTGAGCCATTGACTGACACTTCGGTCTTATTTTCTTTCTTTTGTGTGATTTCTTCCATAATTTTGTTTCTCTAGAACTTGCCTTGATTCTCTTTTAAAGCTAATTAGACCATGCATGATTCAAATGTGATTAAGGCCATTATTTGACTTTGAGCCTCACTAGCCAAATAATCGGTTTGTCCTATGATTTATTTCCCTTTGTTAACCACTTTGAGCTTTATGGCCATTCCTTTCTTTATTCTGGACCACATTACAAGCCTTTTATATCTAAAATAATGCCTTCACCCAGCTGAATAACTAGTGGAGCAAATTTTGGATTATTTTTGTAATCTACGTGAGGTTGGGAAGGATAAGTGTGGGGGAGATCACTTACTCTTATTAATATGATTGAGAGTGAGGTGAGTTGTATCTTCGTTGCCAATATGACGTTGGTCTTCTATGAAAAAAAGAAAAGAGGAAGCAGTCCACAATTCAAAAAAAAAAAAAGCATGAAAAATTGAAAAAAATGAAATGGAAAAATGGAGAATATACGTTTGAAAAAGAAGAATATTGCTGAAAATTTATGAGAAAATGAAAAAGAATCAGCAATTGATTTTGAGTTGAAGTTACTTCTAAATAAACGAAGTAAGGGGGAAGTTCTTGTAATATTGAGGAAGAATTCTATATTTATGAAAATGACAATTGGGTTGAAATGTCAATACGAAATGCTTTGAATGAAAAAAAATTGAGGGTGTTAGATTAATTGTATGTATTTTGCTCCTCTAGTTTGAAGGTTTTATTTAAACTACTTTCCTAAAATATTCCCTACCTTAACCCTAGCCCCATTACAACCTTTGAAAAGTCCTTATGATTTGTGTCATGCATGACTCTTGTAGTGGTGATTAAGAAGATATGCAAGCCTATGGTAGAGCAATTTTATAGGAATGAACATGAGTTAAATCTATACCCATCAAACACTTGAGTGATGAGTGATATTCCTGTGAGAGCTTACTTATTTAGTTATCTCAATTTTCAGACATGGGTGCTAGCTTATTAATTGCAGGGTGCTTCAAATTGTTGTTCATGATATGTTATAAGTTTCAGGAGCTTTATTTTAATTTACTTCGTAAATAATATTTTTGCTTGGGGACAAGCAAACGTTTTAGTGTGGGGGGATTTGATATGCACATTTTACACTCATATTTTAGGTACTTTTTTATAATATTTTCGTATTAATTATTTCATATTATTTAACAATTAGTTATTTTTAGAGTTTAATAACTAATGAGCTAAATATAGTACTAGAAATATATATAATATATAATATAGAATATAGTTATATAAACACACATTAATATATACTACGCATTATAAATGCATATATATATATATATATTATAATGTTAATGTGTGCTTTGGTCCAGCGCAAATTGAATTGAACAATTCAATTTGTTCCATTGAGGAAGCGGACAGAATGGAGAAGCATACGGAATACGGCTGAAAATTAGGAAAAATAGATGGTTGAGGTTCATTGAGCCTATTTTTAGAATGCTATAAATAGTAGGAGTTTCCTATTGTAAAATGTTCATTCTTCCCCTCTCGAATATTCTTTAAGGTTGTTATCAATGCCCATTCGCGGCTAATTTCTTGTTTGGTTTAGTGAATTGAAGCCCCGGAGTTCACAACGCTGTAAGGTTATTTATTTATTTTTATTATATATTTTTTATGCATTTGAGTATTAAATATTCTTCTAAGTTATTTGAAATAATTGTGTCATTTAATTGCTAGGGAGGCCTTCTAGTTATTTATTTGATATAATTATTTGCTATATTAGATAATGTTGTGCTACAAATTATTCTAATATTCAGTAGCAACTGGGTTAATTATTGACGGCTTAGTGATAATTGGACTCGGGAAGAATATTTTTCTAAATTAAATGCAACCGCTTGTGCTTGTGTTATTTAGTTTGTCGGTTTTCCTAGTTCCTATTGCTGCTATTAAATTAAATCTATAGCGCTTGTCTTAGGTTATTTAGTAGTTAGGGGTAATTAAACCGCTTGTGCTTTATTTACCTACAACTAAGGGAAAACAGAAATGAAATAATTTCACGACAAATATTCAATTGCATATTAATTACTTTATTAATCAATGACCAGTGTTGAATTCCGGTGGTGGATCTTTACTAACCAAGGTCTCCTATTTTAAGTGTTTTCGATATATTATTTTCATTGCTCTATTCGTTCAATTAAATTTCTTGTTTATTTAAATTCTCTTTTATTTTATCTTTATTCTCGATATATTCCAAACCCCCCTATCTTTAATTTGAGCACAAAAGTTAAACTAGTTACTCCTCGTGGGATCGATCCTTACTCCCGCTACTACGTTTGTAAGGTTTTAATTTGGGAGCCTACGACAGCTCACCAGTGGCTAGATGGATGTATGAGGCAGATGAACCACCGGCGGTCGGATATGGAAGACTATAGCGTATATTGAAAAGGATATCTTCGAGAATCACAAAATGCTGCAACTTCCGTAAAATCTCGATGATAAATTAAGTAATGTATTAAATAGAATGAGAAATGACTACAAAGCCCCTGGCTCTTAAAAAAATCAGTGCACAAGCTTCAAAATCCAAACAAATCTGATCCGTAGAAATTAAAAAAATAAATGATCAGGATCTAATCTCATGATCTCACATAATTGGAGTGGTCTCACTGGATCCTATATATATATATATATATATATATATATATATATATATATATATATATATATATATATATAAACAAACATAATAAGTTTCAATGATGGTTATACCCCTAGTTTTTGTCCATTTTTTAATTGCTGATTGTCTTGTACATCATCTTATTAATGTTGTACATTATATTTTTATTCTCAAAAATGCCCAAACATCTGTTAAATATACTTAACTGCCATTAAATATAATACTAGGCCATTATCGTCTCCTTCTTTCTTAAATCTTTTTCCGCTCCTTCCGCCCATATTTCTAGCGTAAGAAGCTGCTGAGCCACAATCAATCATTCACGTCCTTCATTCTCTCCCTAAGTACTGCCAGACATTAAAACAAGATACCCAGAGATTTCGGTGTTAGATTGAAGCAATTCGAAGCAGAGATTACGTTAAAGGATTGATGCAATCTGAAGTAGAGATTTTGTTAAAGAATTGAAGCAATCCAAGGGATTCAATGGGTTTGATCGCTGATCGCTGTTCAATGTCCAAGTGGAGTGATTGTTACATGTTTTCTTCTAATTTTATTCATCAAAGGTAAATTTTTTGATTAATTTTGTAAATTTCATGAGATTGAGATGACAATTCAACAATTTAGGGTAATTTTGTTGGAGTTAAATTGATCATTGTATATAATTAGAAAATAGTTTAAATTGAATTTAGTACTGACTGATCCTGCAATTTTGCACCAAAATAAGTAGGAAATATTGGTTACACGGAATCAACTTCCCTGTCAACAAAGGATAAAATCAAGTCATTGCTATGATTTTGTCTGCAATTAATAATTTCTTGATTTATCTCCATTTAGTTTATTTAGGAGGTATGTAGCTATTTAAAGACTCCATTGCACAAAGAATGCACCACACAACCATTTGTGAATTTTTTTTTCTAAAAATTTAGTGTGTTTCTCCCTGTACAAGTTTCTTCAGAGGTTTGTTTTTCTTAACAACTTTAATTCATTCTTTATGTTGTTATTAATTTGATTTTTTCCCCTTGATGTGTATAAATATGTGATGATTCCGTAGAAACACATATTGTTAAATACTTATTCTGGAGTGAAACAAAACTAACCTGACATACACTAGGATATTGTTAAATATTGTTAAACACATATTGTTAAATGTCGTTCTTTCATTGTTTCATTGACACTAGGATATCAGTTAAAATGCACAGTGAATCATTAGTATGTCAGTTAACATACCTTCCAAAACTTCTGCCTATCTTAAGCATTTGGAATAACTGATATGAGGGTAATGATTTAAATCTGGAGCTATATCTACCTTAATTTCTTCTTCTTCTTCTTCCTTTTTTTTTTCCAGCTTAAATATCATAGCCTCTCTGCCTCTCCTGAGCTTACTAATTTATATATATATATATATATATATATATATATATATATATATATATATATATGGTAAACCTAAATAATGGAAATGAAGTTCCATTTTAATGAACATGGTGTCCAAATATAATGACAACAACATGTCTGTGCTGATTTCATTTATGCATTTGACACAAAATTAGGGGTCAACTTAGTCGTGCCATGTAGGATGTGACCACCATGTTGCTCTGGGAGCACGGGAGCACCAAGTATATTTCCAACAGTAGATATGTTGTCATCATGCTAGTTGAATTAATAGTATGGCTCTGAATGTTTAAAATGTAATTCAGTCTCCTGTTTGTTTTCTATTTTGTTTTTTGTTTTTTTTTTCCCTCTGTTTTCCTCCTGATTGATTCATTTGAAGGAGTGAAAGAGCAACAATAAATAGTTGGCAGGGCTATCCATTTTATCTACTATAATGCAATTTCTGAACTTCTATGCTCTCTAGGTAATGTTCTTATCTGAAGGTCTGTGTTTAGATAGGGGTTTTGTGATATGTGTTTAGATACGTTCCGAAGTTGTTTTTTAATTAATTGTTGGAGTGTAATGTGATTTGTAAGTACTATTTATCTAATCCCAATTCAATTAACGATTACAGTTTAATAACATAAAGGTATTTGATTTGAAAATTTTAATTATTCTTTATTATGTTGTTAATTTGTTTTGTTTTTCCTTCATCTGTATAACTATATGATGATTGAGTAGAAGCGCATATGTTTGGATCTCTTAAATAAGATATTTGTTTCATATGCTACTATTTCTTGCTTATTTTGGATAAAACTTTTATGTTTCTTTCTGTTTTTCTGAATTGCTAAGAATGTTGTATAGTTTTTATTCTTATGTAGTTATATCACTTTCTGTTGTATCTCCCTCCCCAATGGTGCACATGTTTTCATGAATATCTTATATTGTTACTGCATTTTCATAACACACACACACACACACACACACACACACACACACACACACACACACACACACACACACACACACACACATATATATATATATATATATATATATATATATATTCAGAAATGGAATCTCACCTTTTAATCCCTCAAATCACAACTGAGATAAAACAATGGAGTTGTAAAGTTTGTGTTATTGAAAAGTTGAACACAAGAGAGTCAAAGACCAAACCTGGAACTTTGTACAAACCTATAACATTTCAAGATGAAGCGGTTACTCCTTTTATCATTCCTCAATTTTAAACATAATTCTATTATATATTTTATATAATATTTTGTAATAATTATTAACATCTATTTTGAAATATAATTATAGGGCAACAAAGTTCAAGGAATGACGTATCAGAATGATATTGAACTGCTTGATGAAAGGCTCAAGTTATACTCCACATATATTATCTCTAATGCATTAGTCTCTCGTGCTAATGAATTTTTCAATGTCCCAAATGAGAGATATAGGTTTGTTTGGTAAACTCTTATACAAGATGTCGATGATGATAAACAATTGGATTTGCAACCTTCTTCTGACATAGATACAAAACCATTTGGACAATTGTATGCCTACAAATCTAAACGACAAGCAATCAGTGAGTTTACATTCTTTCCATGTGTTTTTTATTCAAGAACAATTATTTATATTTTGTGAATCTAATGCGTATATTTTTTGTAGATATCATTGGAGTTGTGATTAAAAAAAATACCAAGAGAATTTATTGTCACCAATAGGATGGGACAACAAAAGCTAATGATTTTGTAATAGTTGATGAAGAGTATGTTTATTGAATTTATTAATTAACTTTGAAAGTTTTTAATTGTCTATTATAGTTTGGAAGGAAGCACGATTAATTTTACACCTTTTTTTATATATATTTTCTTGCATTGTGTATTAACAAATAAAATATTATTGTCAACTAAGTTTGCCATGATCTATTTATAAATTTCTTATTAATTTCTATATAAATTCCTTAATAATCTCATAGGCTTAAACCTATCATTTTCACAATGTGGGGAAATTTTACGGCTTATCAAGGGGTTGAAATTGACAAAGAACTCCAATCAGAAGATTATCCAGTTGTTCTTGAAAGAAGGATTACTGTCACCCCATATTAAGGTTTGTATGCAATCTTAATATGCATTTCGATAAATTAATTATGAAAAAGTGAATACATGATCAAGTATTAAATGAGGTACTTGTAATTTTTCTTATCAAGTGTGTTTAACATGTTAAATAGGTATTTTCTTATCTACAAGATCTGATTCTGGTGTAGAAGTAAATCCATTTGGCAACTGTGCAGAGGCTCTTAAAGAATGGTAACATAAATTCATCTTTTGTCATTCTAACTTTTTATTTGTTCCACATGCTAAATGGTTCTATGTTGTTGATAGGACGAAGGCTAATTCTTTAGTTATTGAAAGATTCGATTGTTGAAAAAGCACATAACAATGCTATTAGTGAATTGACAATCCCTCTAGATCAACAAATATCACCAATTTCAATTTTAAAAAAGTCATTTGAGCAGGTTTCTCACTAATGTTGCACTCTTTTATTGTTTACATTTTCTTTTTAACTTCTTTTTCTAAATTTTATTTTGTTATTTTATGCATATGTTCAAAATTAAGTCAAAAGCAGTCTGGGTTAAATCAAAGATCACACTCATAGACAACGGAAATCCTACCTACTACATTGGTTGCAACTATTGTGAAAAAAAAAAATTAATTGTAATGAAGGTATTAAATTCCGATGCATGTTTTGTGGTCATGCAAATGCAATTTCTATCAAGAGGTAAATCAAAACTCTTCAACATACTTGTACACATAGTTATAGTATTATTATAATCTCATATTAATTGTGAGGCATTTTTTTTTACAGATACAAGTTAATTGTTGAGTTATTTGATGGGACAGATAAAATTGAAGCAATAATGTTTAATCGTCATGTGGATAAGTTATTTTCTTTAACAGAAACAGAGAATGAAAATGATGGCTTTGATTTTCAAAAGCTCAAAAAAAAAACTTGATACACCCACTTTTGCAGTTGAGCTTAAGTGTCAACACCAAGACCGAGGAGGAATGACAACGACTTACACAGTTGCATCTATTTGTGAAGATATATCAACTTCATCAATTACCGGTACTAAAAAGAAACTTGCCTTTGGAGAATCTAGCAGTCTGGTGGACGATTCAACATATTTACTTCCTTCAAATGTTGACAATCACTATGCGAGAGAGAAACATCCCAGACTTGAGTGATATTGTGATTTTTAATTATGAAGTCTTTATGATACTTTTCTGCTATTACAATAATCCATGACTCAAGTGTCTATATAGACACAAATAAAAGTTATTGATTTTGAATTGTATGTTATATCAAGTAATATAATTTTTATATTATAATTGTTAGTTATATTGTTAGTTGTAATAAAAAATAATTTCAATACTTTAAATACATTACAAGGTGTAGGTACAAACATAAATTCTCATTCTGGCAGATAAACATGCGAATTTCTAATAACAAAGTTACATCAATTAAATTAAAAAATTCAAAGTTAATAAACCTTCATAGTAATAAAAGTAAAAATAAGTTTTAAAAAAATCTTAAACTCCATAGTATATAGTTTCACATTCATCGAAGGAAAAATAGAAGGCAAAGGAAATTGGACAGCAGCAAAATATTTCGTCATTTTTTAGTTGTGATTGTTAGCAATATTATTATTTGTGTTATTATTTATATTATTGGTTTGAATAGTCTGCGTACCGAGCATGGGTCAAGCGGGATCAGTCTCTTCTATCCCTGTTGATTTCATCACTTTCCGATGAGGTCATGCACCTGGCCGTCGGGAAGACCACATCATAGGATTAGTTCACGCTATTGTATTTAGATGATAGTTGTGTAATCTCTATTGTGTTGGAATTGAAACTGTTATCCTTATCTCATCGTGATACCTAAAGTTAATAATGGTATTGATATTATTTTCTTTTCAAGAAAAATAATGATTGTAGATATGTTTGATAGGGTGAAATCGTAATAAACCAATTTTGTAAATGAATTTGTTATATATATATATATATATATATATATATATATATATATATATATAGAGAGAGAGAGAGAGAGGGGGGGATAGAGAGAGAGATTCATATGTGAACCTTAATTAAAATGTGAAATTCAAGACTGATATGAGGCA